CATTGATATGAACTTTTGCGTTTCACACTAGTCATTCCACAGCGGCGTGCATATACAAAATGTTGCATGTTTTTCTGAATGCCCTGAAGCTATTTTGGTTTAATCATTGGCTTAGTTAGTGATACTCAGCCTGTAGGTTTTGCTATCAGAGGGAGTTACAGAAAGGATGTGGTTGAATTCATGTTTGATAGAATGAACTTTGTACACATCACTTCTAAGATTAACTGAAGATAATAGGCAGCTTTAAAAATTAATGAAATTAAATTAACTGAAGTAGTGATTCATTTTCATATTATTTCTTGAATGTGAGGCATAAATAGCTTTAGACACCGACACAACATTATACCTACTCATGTTCTTTCTTTAAGGTGCTCTTGATCATTGAATTTTGCAGGGAAATAAAAATCACTGCAAGAATAATAATTATAGAATTGTTGATTTCGTAGGTGATTAAATTGTATTCAATTAATTTCATAAGTTTGTTATTTGTTGTTTTAGGTTAAAAAGGATCCTAAGTCTGGGCAATCAAAAGGGTTTGGATTCATCCGCTTTGGGACATACGAGTCACAGATGCGAGTTTTGGCACAGAGGCATATGATTGATGGCCGGTGGTGTGATGTCAAGATTCCAAACTCGAAGGTAAGCTAAGAACAGAGTTTTTATTAAACAACTTTGGATTCATATTGCTACTGTTTGCATTAAGGAAGTCTAGTTGAAGATTTCCATATAAATCAGTTATCTTGTTTCTGCACCTCTGGTTTGGTGATTGTAATACCATAAAATATATTCCAATTTGCATTCTGTTTAATATAGAGCAGGATATTTTAAAGTAATTGCAATTTATATTCAGAAATAACTGTAAACTATAAAGAAGTTAAAACTTGATGGCCCAGGAGGAGGAATTGTGTGTATGGTTAGCTAATTGGATTGATATCTGTGTGCGAGCATGTGTGTCACAATTTGGTATGTGTGTGTGAGTTGTATAAACGATCATCACCCCTTGGTGTGACAAACAAATGTGTGAATCTGTGTGACTCTCTGTGATTGCCACCTTCTCCGCCCCTTCTGTGCCTGGTGCAATCAGAGAAAATTGGAAACCAAACCAAGAGGTCCGCCAGGAGAAAATAACACCCACATATTTGGTGTTTCCAGAATTTGGATGCAGTGTGCTCTTCCACGAGGGGCGGAGAGATTTATATTGGTGGCACCACTGCACTCTGTGAACCCATTGACATTGCTGCTGCTTACACTGAGTATGGTGGAACTCAAATGTACCAGTATAATGAATTAGTCCCATATGTATATGATCCAGGCTATCAGTTTGGTAGCCCCATCGGTGGTGTTTATGTGGCCAGTGATAGTTACAAAGTTAATAGTGGAATTTGTGACACATCAACCAGAACTGTCAGTTATTCTGTCAGTGGTGTTTATAACAAAGTTGGTGAAACAGATCATTATCGACCATCTCACATGCCTGATGGATCCCATAAAGATGATAATGTCAGTGGATATCAGCTTGACCATTACACAAACTGGCATCGAATGTCTCTCAAGAAAGACTATGGTGATATTCATTGTTCAGATAGTCACAGATCTTCAAGTCATGGGCTGTTTGGCCCTCAGAGCAGAGACAAGACTTGCCATGAAAGGGACCTTGATATGACCTTTGACAGGTATGACAGTGAAGAAAGAAGTTTGCGGTTTCCAGGAAGCCATGAGCAATATAGTGATCATACAAATTATGAGAGAGCTCAAGAAAAAAATTGCAGTTCTTTGGGGAACTTGCATGAATTTCAGAGGAATTATTCCAAGATTCATAGGCATAGTTGCAGATCAAGGGATGTTGCACATCGTTATGCTGATAGGTATCTGGTAAAAGTATCACGCAAGGAGCGTGAGAGATCCCGTCATGGAAGCAGTGACAGGAGCTACAAGCATGGTAGTAATGGCCATGGGCACAAACACAGCAGAACTTCAACCAAGGATAGTAGCAAAAACTACTATGAAACAGATGTCAGTGACAGTGATGAAAAGGCACATCACAAGCATAAATCAGCTGAATTTGATGACTGGGTTCAGAAACGTGGTGGTTACTCCAGAAGTGAAACTCACCATTCATCTGCTTCAGTGGCAGGACCAAAAACCATACCTGTAATTCAGTCACGGTATTAAAATGTAACATTCTCCCAACAAATTTCTGTACCCTTCTATGTTGGTTCATTTGAGGCTAGCTGATTTAACAGGACTCTTTATCCTGGTCTTTAAATAAAAAATGAAACTAAATATATCTTGAAAGTTATAGCAGATACATGGCTCTAACTTGTAACATAAACTAAAATTACACTGGTGGTTATTTAAACATCAGATCAGCAATAAATTGCTTGTGAAACTGAAGTGGAGTTCAGAATCATTCTTGCCTCTTATGAAATACAGATGTACATGTAATACCATGATCTATAGTAAAAATGGACTTCACAGTGAAATGGATGCGAATAGTGCTTCCATAAGTCTATACATAATATCAGAACATACTTTTTTATTAAAACATATTGTGCAGTGTTCTAAATGTTTTGAGATACTTTATCTCTGTTTCATTTGTTACATGTTTATGTTATGTGCAGCTAAGTATGAAGCATATTGTGAACATTGAAATTGATGTGCAAAATGCTGATCTTTAATTTAAAATCATAAATTGTTGGCTTTGTAAACTTATTTTATTATATTCCTCTGTTCCTTTACCACTTTCAAGGGCTTGTTGGAGTCTTAACAAGTATTAGTAGTATGTGACACTGGGGTTCCAGTGGTTTAAGTA